CTCTTTATAGCCTCAAAGAAAGAGCACTACCTGAGTACTGGTGGCTCACACCTGTCATCCTAGCTACTTAGGACACTGAGATTTGAGGATCACTGTTCAAACCAGCCTGGGCAAGAAAGTCTATGAGACTCTTTTTCGCAATGAACCACCAAAAAACCAGAAGTGGCGCTTTGGCTCAAGTGGTAGAGTGCTCGCCTTGAGCTAAAGAGCTGAGGAATAGCACCCAGGCCCACAGTTCAAACCCCATGACTGAGAGAGAGTGGGAAGGCTGGGAGAGAGAGGGAGGGAGAGGGAAAGAGAGCAAACACAAGCACTGTGGAGCCAGGACATGGCTCCATCTGAAGCAGGTCACCAAAGGTCACACCAAAACATCTGATTGCGAAAAAGAGCTCCGCAGGCCCTCACAGAACCTAGGCTGAGGGCCTTCCATGCCAAGTTGGCCAAAATCCATCATTTGCACAACTGAGCACAAGTCTGCATGCAAGGCCTGAGCTGTGACACATGCACACAAGGCACCTCCCATCCCTGCCCATGGCTCCCAGCAGGTCAGTCTGCAGAGGACTTGTTGTGCTTTATTCTAATGGAAACATCTTTGCTTGAAATCAGGGCCAGAGCACTGTCCCTCGGTTTCTACACTCCTCTCTACCACTTGAGCCACACCTTCACTCCCTGCATCATGATGATTGAGTGGGTATGAGAGCCTCAAGGACTTTCTGCCTGGGTTGGCTTCCAACTCTGACCCTCAGCTCTCAGCTCCTGAGTAGCTGAGATTATAGGCATGATCCACCAGCCCTGACTATAGATCCAAGTGGTAAGAGATGTTGAATCAGGGGAGAAACAGCTCATCAAGCACTTCTTCTGGTTGTGAAGCTAAACCCAGAGGGCCTGAGAGACCAGATGATGAGGTACATAGAGCACAGATGTGGGGGTCCCCCCACCCTTCATACCCAACTCAGGCCATGGACCCCTCACAGAACCATGGACAAGTGACAAAATTGCAAGCATGAGGAATGACCCAGAACTTTTGCGTGACTAGAAACAGAGCGATCCCAACTTCAAGTGATAAACTGTCCATGACAGGCAAACAAATTTAAAACATAAAAATATATAGGGAAGGTAGAGTTGGGTTGTGTGGGAAGCCAGTGAGAAGCTGTGAGCCAACATCTGGGAGTTGAGCACACAGGAGGGGGCGGGTCCTCCATGGCTACGGAAGCTCCAGGGGCTCAAAACACCTTGGGACCTTCCTTCATGGGAGAAGTCTGGTGCTGCCTTTAGCCAATGTGAGTTCTGGGAAGAGGAAGCATTGGACCCACAGATAGTGAGATTTAAAGGAGACCTTGGAGGGAGGGGACACTCAAAGAGGTTTAACTCCTTCTCCATTCACTTCACAGTCTACTCACCATGTCCTTGCAAGAACCATTCAAAATATTGTTCCAGTGACTCTGGTTTCTTAGACAGATTTGTAACACGCCAGAAATAATATCCAGATATAAGGACATCCTTAGGATTTCTGATGACATAGATCATCTTCATGGGAGCAAAGAGAGAATTAAACAATATTCCCATCATTTCTTGCACTCTTGGTGTTCAGACAAATTCTAGCCATTTTTGCTCCAACATTGAAGTATCTGTTGGTCTTTTGGTTGTGCATTAGTTTGTAAAATACTTTTCTGAGTTCCTACAATCTAATCACTTTGCCAGAAATAAAACAATGGTGGGACAACGCATTTCCTAAACGTATCAGGGATATTTATCTACTAAACACAGGAGAACAGACGCTGGTTAGCCTTTGCCGGCTGCAGATTTATGAGTTGTTCTGTAAACATCATTGAAACATCTGGGCATGGGTGGCTCTCACCTGTAACCACAGCTACTCAGGCAGCTCAGATCTGAGGATCATAGTTTGAAGCTAGCCCAGGCAGAACAGCTCATGAGACATCCATCTCCAATTAACTACCTGAAAACCTCAAGGGGAGCTATGGCGCAAACTGGTAGAATAACAGCTTTGAGTACAAATGCTCAGTGACAGCTGTGAGTTCAAGTCCCAGGAGTGGCACAAAAGCAAAAGCAAAACAACAAAGAACCATTGAAGGAGGGAGCTGAAATGATACAACAGAGATTTCACAGCATAGGCGCCCATTTCTATGGTGTTCAGGAACAAATCTAGGTAGCATTGTGCCAGGGAAGAGTGTGCATCGTTTGTGGTGTGGGCTGGTCTGGGGAAGCGGGACAAAGGCTCCTGGTTTGATCTGGCCATGAGCATCAGGTGTTTATTCACTGCACAGCCTTCGACCACTGACACCACCTCACATGACATTGAAACCACACAACCTCCAATTTCTGTTTCTTTTCTGTTTTTCTTTTTTTTTTTTTTGCTTTTTGCTAGGGCTGGAGGTTGTACTCAGGCCCTGGTGATGTCCCTGTGTTTTTGTGCTCAGGCTGGTGCTTTACCACTTGAGCTGCTGCTCTACTTCTGGCTTTATTTTTGATAGCTTTCATCAGAGATAGGAATCACCTGACCTTTCCTACCTGGGCTGACTTGTTATCTTGATCCTCAGATCTCAGCCTCTTGTTTATCTGGAACGACTGCATGAGGTCTGGGTATCCACTTAAAACACAGTTTGTTTAGTCTTGCAATTAGTCATCCAGTTAATCTGTCAGGGATTACACAGCCATGGTCCACATCTTGGACTCTGTTTGGTCTGAGGACCCTGAATTCATGAAGGAGACTCTGGGGTCCTCCATGAACTACAGAGGGAGAATGGCAAACCTGCTGGCTATGTGCATTTTTAAGAGGAAAAGGACTTGATGGAACAGTTATTGGGCACTGAGCACTGACCTTGGCCTTGGAAGTGAAGAAAGACTTGGGGAAGAGTTGGATGGGGAGGTGGGAGGAGATGAGGGGGGGACCCTCCTTCCTCTCCACTTTGAATTTGTATCCACTTGCAGTGTCGATCCATGGGGAACGAACATATGTGGGCACAGATCGAATCCAGTTGGGATCCCCCTTGGTGTGAATCAGAGAGAGCACCTCAATCAACCAATGGGTTCCTGGGGCAGAAAGAAAAGCAGAGCTCACTCATTTCTATCTGAATACACAATATATATATATATATATATATATATATATATATATATATATAGATAGATAGATAGATAGATAGATAGATAGATAGATAGATAGATAGATAGATAGATAGATAGATAGATAGATAGATAGATAGATAGATAGATAGATACACACACATACATAGATGCATACATACACATATATAATGGTAAAGCATATGTAACATAGACCTTATGGATATAAACTTTCTCAGGCATGCAATCTGATATGGATAAGTAGTGTTTAGTGTATTTGAATCATGGCTCACTTAGTGCCAGTATTTTGTCATCTTATAAGTCTACACTGTCCATGACAACTGAATATTGATTTGCTTGCCACCTGCCCCATCATTTTCTTATCACACCAGGTCTTTGGCGGTTCTGGGCCTTGTATGTGAGTGCAATAGTACACAGTCTGTTTGTTTGTTTTTTGCACTATGGCCTTGACTCATGTGGTTTCAAATGGCAAAATGTCCTGATAATAGTAGAGCATGGGTCTAAGTAGGAAGCATTATGCTCACCTTTGGTCCTCAGTTCCACCCATTTCTGAGCTGCTCCCTGCCCTGGATATCTTGCCATACAGCTGGCCCCTCCCTCTCTCCACCCAGACCCACCTGAGCTCCCACCTACCTCACTTCCTACCCCAGCCCCTGCTGCTGCTAGATAGTGGAGGTGGTCATGAGCTCTCTCTCTGGGGGATATATGGCTCCTCTAATAAACCTTGTAACCATCTTTCTCCTGTGCCTGCCTGCCTCCGCATGGTCCCCTGGGAAGGATGTGATGGATCCTTTCCTGAGCTGTCTGCATTTTCAACAGTGTATAATATTCCACTTTGATCTCTCAACTTGTTTGGGATTGTGCAGCCATTTCTCTGTGGATATTTGGGTTTAATGCAGCTGTTAGCTGTTGCTGAAATCCTGCAGTGCCCCCACTGGCTGTGGTTTTCAGCACATTTCCCTTGCAGTGTGCTCTCAGTGCTCCCTCCCCACTCCCTGTGCCCCTTTACACAGGCTCCCTGGCCTGCCAGTGCCTTGTGTTTACCCCAAGTTTTCCAGGTCCTAACTATGGCCCATCATGATTCTTCTATTTGAGATCATGCTTTTTCTCTAGGTAACCTTAAAATCATCCTTTTCATTTTATGAACTATGGAGCACCTCAAAAACACCTAATTAAAAAGAAATCTGCTGCCAACCCTGGAGCTTGAACAAGGCCTGGGCGCTGTCCATGAGCTGTTGTGCTCAAGACTGGCACAATATCATGGAGCGACAGGTCTTCAATCATGAGCTACTACACCATTCCTATGTGGAACACAATTGGGAGTGAGGCCACAGCTGTGGCCTTTCCCACACAGCCACAGCCCCCTCTGCTCACCTGATTTGGGGTAGGTCACCGTGATGATGTCTTCGTCCTTCAGGACCAGCTCCTCATGGACTGTTTTTATGAGTTCAGGGTAGATATCTACAGGAGGGAAAGGAATGTCCTGGTACCACACGTAGTCCTTAGCCATGGCAGAGTCCTGGGTGCCTGGCGCTTGGTCCCAGGCCACTGGCACTGCCACTGTGGAAGTGGTGACAGAGTCTGGATGGTGAAGAAAATCATTAACTAAGATTAATTGATGATAAAAAGAAAACCCTGTGATTGTCCCCAGGGATTTTTATTGGGCAACTGTGAAATCATTCAAAGGGTGAACTGTGCTCATCTGATCTTCAGTTCGTGGCAGAAAACCAGAAATTCAAGAGGAAATATGCTAAAGTATAGGATTAAATAATATTTTCAAATCCTTTATTTTGCCAAGAGATTTAGGTATCAGAAAACTCGCATAGAGGGAAGTGGTGGCCTTCTGGATCAACACCCCAAGTTCAATCCACTAATATTACTCAAAGATCTCAGCCAAGATTCCTCAATGCAATGTCCTTCCTATTTCTTCTGTTTCCCCTAGGATCTCTCTCCACTCCAGGATGGCAGCCATGATCCCCCAGGTCTGGGTCTCCATGGCTCCTCCGGCCCCTGTACGCAGGGACAGTTTCTCAGACTTCTTTTCTTTATCCTGACCTTGCAGACTTGAGAAACAGTAAATACTTCTGTAACTTTATGGGGATAGTGTGAGTGTGGGACTGTGCATATCTGAGTATGTAGCTGTACATTTAAGGTGTGTGTGTGTGTGTGTGTGTGTGTGTGTATGTTCACACCACAGAAACCCATTTCTTTCTTTCTTTTTTCCCTTCCTTCCCTTTCCCTCCCTCCCTCCCTCCCTCCCTCCCTCCCTCCATTCCTTCCTTCCTTTCTTTCTTTTGTAGTTGGTCATGGGCCTTGAACTGGCCCTGGGTCTCTCAGTTGTTTAGCTCAAGGCAAGTGCTGTACCACTTGAGCCACAGTGCCCCTTCCGGCCTTTTCTGTTTATGTGCTGCTGAGGAATCGAACCAAGAGCCTCATTAATGTGAGGCAGACACCCTACCACTGCGTCACCTTCCCAGCCACCAGGAACCCATGTCTATGATATTCAGGAGTGAACAAATCTAGGTAGCATTGAACTGGCAACTGTTTGGGGTTGTGCCTGGTGTAGGCTGTACCCGGGAAGTGGGATGTTCTCTCTGGAGGAAAAAGCCATTTTAGTTTTTCCTCCTGGGGCTTGAACTCAGGGCTTGGGCACTGTCCCTATGTTTTTGTGCTTAAGACTGGGGCTCAACCACTTTAGCCACAGCTTCACTTCTTGTCTTGTTGGTGACTCATTGGAGATAAGAGTCTCTTGGCCTTTCCTGCCTGGGCTAGCTTCCAACTTTGATCCTTATTTCCTGATTAGCTGGGATTACAGGTGTGTGCCACTGGTGCCTTTTTTTTTCTCTCCCAGTCCTTGGCTTTTACTCTGGGTCAAGGTGCTATTCCTGAGCTTCTTTTACTCAAGGCTAGCACTCTACCACTTGAGCCATAGCGCCACTTCTGGCTTTTTATGTTTATGCGATGGTAAGGAATTGAATCCAAGGCGTCACTTATATGAGGCAAGCACTCTACCACTGAGCCAACTTCCCAGTGCTAATTTTTTTAATTTAATTTTATTGTAAAGATACTGGACAGAGAGGTTACAGTTACATGAGTAAGGTAATGCTCAGGTTTTTGTTAATGCCAGTGTGGTGTTATGAGCTTCCCATGGATCTGAGTTGTCTGCATTTTCAACATTGAGCAATATTCCATTTTGATCTCTTAACCTGGTTTGGATGATGCAGCCATTTCTCTGTCGATATTTGGGTTTAATTGCCTGGCGCTCTACCGTGTTAGCCACAGGTCTTCAATAACAGAGCTACTATATGGTCCCTATGTTGTAGACAGCAGGAGGGAATGGGGGCTGCAGGCCTGGAGGTTCCAAGGCAGAGCACTGGAAGTGGAGCTCTGGCTTGGGTGGTAGAGTGTGAGCCTTGAGCAAAAAACTGAGGGACAGTGCCCAGGCCCTGAGTTCAAGTCTCAGGACCAGCAAACACTTGAATAACATAGCGCTTCATGCATTCCCATACTGACATTTCTTACTGTCATTTTTGTGCCAGACCCAGCAGTCTGGAACCCACAGGATATGAATGAATCGCAGGGCATTAAAGGGGTGGTTTCCACTTACATATCCACCCAGGGCCAGGGCTGTGATCCTGTTAGACCTAAGCTGTGATGTCATCGCACCCTCTTAGGTGTTACAGGGTCCCCTGAGAGGCGATCTCTCTTCCACTCCTGACTGGGAAAAGGTGACCAAAACCTGCCTAAAGCCCTGTCAATAGTTATAATATGAAATATAGTGAATGAGGAAGCTCATCTCCAGGCTTTGAAAAATCAACACGTCCCCATGACCGACAAAAAGAACAACAAAAACACAAACAAAAAACCCACCATAGACATTCTTGGGGTTGGGAAGGTGGCTCAGTGGTAGGGTTTGTGTGCATGAGGCCCTGGGTTCAATTCCTCAGGACCACATAAGCAGAAAAAGCCAGAAGCGGTGTTGTGGCTCAAGTGGTAGAGCGCTAGCCTTGAGTTGAAGATCTAGAGGCAGTGCCACGGCCCAGAGTTCAAGCCCCAGGAGTGACCAAAAAAAAAAAAAATAAACGTGTCTACCCTCCCATAGTAACTGAAGAGAACCAGCTTACCAGACTGGGAGTGGTCCTACAGGTACTGGGCAAAAATGAAGTGATTGATCAGGTATCAGAACAGGGAAGAGGTAACCCAGCCAAGATAAACAGCTATCACCTCTGTACATAGCAGGCAAGGAGGCCTGGAACCTTGGGTTGATTTCAGAGCCAGGTTAAAGATAATCTTCATAAAACTGTTAAGTGCAAACTGAGTTAAGAGACTAACTTCTCCAAATATATACTAATTGAGTGTCCAAAGGTTTACACTCCATCAAGGCTGCAAATGGCGATGTTACAAATCATATTGAAGTCTGTAATGACATTGGCTCCTCTGCTGCAGCCATAATGGGACCCACCATAAAACGTCTTAAAATGTTTTTGATGTCAAAAAAACGGGATAAATAAAAAGAAATTGTTCAAAAGGTAAGAATTCTTAGCAAATTCTGAGCCTTGTAAGAGTTAAGTAACCCTCTTGGGATAGGATGGGGGTTGCCAGACCCTTCTGTAAACTTCTTTTACATCTATAAATTGATTTAGGAAGAGTTCCTTCTTTTTGCCCAATTTTCTTTACAGACCCTTAAGACTAGATTCCTCGAACATGTTCAAAGATACATTTGTATACTAATATGCCATGCTAACAAAGTTCTCTAAACATTTTCTGTTCTTTGTCATCTAGTTATCAAATAGTTGTAAAAAATGTTATTTGTTGTGTTTGTATTTTGCCTTATAGTTTGCTTTGTGTTGTCTGTCTAATACTGACCACACAGTTTTATCATATTGGACAAAATAATGTCACTTTGCCTTTGGAATTCCAAAAGAATCTATGGCGGATATAAAAAAATATATATAATATATATGAATATATAAATAAGATATATATATATATATATATATATATATATATATACATTGTCAGTCATAGGGCTTAAACTTTGGGCCTGAGTATTGTCTCTGTTCTCTTCAGCTCAAGGCTAGACATTGTGCCAATTCCAGTTTCCTGGTTGTTAATTGGAGATAAGAGTCTCATGGACTTCCCTGCATGGGCTGGCTTTGAACCTGGATCTTCAGTCTCAGCCTCCTGAGTAGCTAGGATTACAGGTGTGAGCCACTGGCACATGGCCAACTTTCATTTTTATAATCTAATTGAGCTTTAAAACTCTTGTACATAAGTATAAATGTAAGTGTATGTGAAAATGTTCAAAATAATCTAGTATTTTACTGCTTAAAATCTATTATGATGGTGTAAAAAAAAACAGTTCTGGGATGCTGGTTCAGTGCTAGAGTGCTTGCCTTGCATGCATGAGGTCCTGGGTTTGATTCTTCTTGAACTATATAAGCAGAAAAAGCCAGAAGTGGTGGTGTGGCTCAAGTGGTAGAGCACTAGCCTTGAGCTGAAGAGCTCAGATATAGCACCCAGGCCCAGAGTTCAGGCCCCATGACCAACAAAAAACAAACAAACACAACACCAAAAACCAAAGAAAGTTTCCTTGAGCTGAGAAAAGCATTTGGGAGGTAAGAGTTGTCTTAAATGTTCGTTTCAAAATATAGAAATGAATAAGACTAACCACTTAAGGTTCAAGTAAATGTCTGATGGTATGAGTATGTCTTAAATCTATAAGATAAAAAACTTATTAGTAAAGCTGACATGTAGCCACATTGGCTGTGATTTAAATAAGGTTAAAAGTAATGCACTATAAAACCAATATTTCATTTCTTTCTTTCTTTTTTTTCTGTCAGTTATGGGCCCGGAACTTTGGGCCTGGGCATTGTCCCTCAGTTCTTCAGCTCACGGCTAGCTCTCACCACTTGAGCCACAGCTCCACTACTGGCTTTTTCTGCTTATGTGGTGCTGAGGAATTGAACCCAGGGCCTCATGCATGCAAGGCAAGCACTCAACCACTGAGAGACCTTCCTAGCCCCAATACCAATACTTCATACTTTATGCCAATTTCATATAGATGCTTCTCTCTTTTCCTTTCAGACAGACACTAAAAACTAACAGTAATATAGGCAATGTGATTAGTTTTCCTAAAATCTGCCCCTTGGGATGTATTAAAAATTAAAACCTTTAAAAGGAGAATTAAAAACAAAAAAGGGTTAATCTGTATAATGTAATTTGGTTTCAATGCTATTTTGCAATTAGATACAAATTGGGAAGAACAAGCTTGTTCTGAGATCCTTAGTTTATTAAGTCTAGGTTCTTGGTACAGTGTTTCCTACATGTAAAGAAAAACTATGCTATTTGAGTTTAAAGGTTTTCTAAGAGTTAAGTCAGACTACAGAAAAAAAAGAGTCAGTTTTAAATTCCAGATGGCCTGGAGAGAAATGGTTGTTTCTCAGTGGCTCTAGGTTTCAAAAGGGTTAACTTAAATGCAAATCAACAATGTGAGTAGCCTTAAAATGAGGACTTGGAAAGAAAAGTTATCCAAACTATTTGCTTCAAAGTGGAAAAGGGAAAAGTAGGACTACTTAACATTCACTTCAAGTGTGGTGCTGGTGGCTCACGCCTGTAATCCTAGCTACTCAGGAGGCTGAGACCTGAGGATAGCAGTTTAAAGCCAGCCTTGAGCAGGAAAGTCCGTGAGAGTCTTATCTTCAATAAAGTACTCAGAAAAAGCTGAAAGTGGCACTGTGTCTCTAGTGATAGAGTGCTAGCTTTGAGCTGAAGAGCACAGGATCAGCGCCCAGGCTCTGAGTGCAGGACCCAGGACTGACAATAAAAGGTGTAGGTCACTAGAACCCCCAAGAACAGACAGCAATGGCATTCTATACCCTTAAGTTTGAAAATTTACTTTTTCCATCCAATACTTCAGCACAGATATACTTTGGAAAGACCTGAAAAAATCGCTTCTTTACTTCAACCTATACGCTAAAAGGATGACATTGGTAATACCTAGAGACCCAGAACTGTCAAAATATTGGGTGGTGGTTATTCCTGTGTGTGCACAGGTTCAGCGGACATCTGTCTACCTACCCTGAATTGAAAACCCAGAAAGAAAGAGAAAATGCTTCCAACCTCCAGGAACCTCTGGAGAAAACCTTCAAGAGGATGAGGATAACTAAAGGCTCAGGGAGAAAGAGAAACAGCGACCCTTCCCACCTGGGGACCAGTGAAGAAGCTTTCTCTAGAAGCTGAGAGTTGCTAAAAGTTCAAGGAACAGGAAGTGAATGCATCGTTGTCGTTGTTTATAATGATGCTTATTCAGACTGCTGGTGCCTCCTGCTCAGTATAAGCCTCTGTTTGGGGGCTTCCTATGCTGGGTAAACTGTTGCACTTAAATTGTACTGTGATATGTAACAACTCAGAAATGGGACCTGTCCAGTGATATAAAGACGGAGTTAAAATATTTAGTTAGGCCGGGTGCCAGTGGTTCATGGTGCTGTGGCTCAAGTCATGGAGTGCTAGCTTTGAGCTAAAGAGCTCAGGGACAGTGCCAAGGCCCAAATTTCAAGCCCTATGACAAACCAAAAAGAAAAAAAAAAGACCATGAATGAAACTTCCTTTTGTATCAAAGAAGGCTCTTCTGTGCAAAATGTTCTAACATAGCCGGGCGCTGGTGGCTCACGCCTGTAATCCTAGCTACTCAGGAGGCTGAGATCTGAGGATTGTGGTTCAAAGCCAGCCCAGGCAGGAGAGACTGTGAGACTCCTATCTCCAATAAACCACCAGAAAACCAGAAGTGGTGCTGTAGCTCAAGTGGTAGAGCGCTTGCCTTGAACTAAAGAGCTGAGGGACAGTGCCCAGGCCCAGAGTACAAGCACCCCGACCGACAAAAAAAAAAAAAAAAGTTCTAACACAAAGTTTAGTAGGACATGCTGTCAGTTTAAAAGAGAAAAAATATAACTCAGGATAAAATTAGTCATCAAGAAGATGAGATTTTAGAGAATAAATTAATTTTGGACCTTGAATTTATAGTTCACTGTGAGTTTTCATGCTTCTGCTGTGCAAATGACCTTAGCAAGTGTTCATCCATGACCAGACTCTGTTTGCCTCAAGGAAAAAGAGTTGGCATTGGCTGGTCTTTCTTTCGTGGAGGAAAGGCATATGGCGCTCTAAAGACAAATTATCTGTTGCTGTTATGTTCGGAGAATGGTGCCTGTCTGTCTTAGTAATTTGACCCATCAGAATAAGAGATGCATAAGACAAGATCTTACTCCAAATTGACATAACTTAATGCTGTTAAATACTGTGGATAGGGCTGTAGCTGCAGCTTTTATTCTGTCTGTCCCTAGACTTAAAGAAGGTGTCCAGAAAGAAGGCAGCAGATTACCTTGTATTTTCAACCAAGTTTGACAGATGAATAAATCAAGAAATCAATCAAGAAATCAATCAAGAAATGAAAAAGGGAAGAACAATAATTTGACACATTGGAACCGCCACAGATTCTTTGCTGTTGAAAAACCATTTAGGATGTGAACTGTTTGAAGGACTGAGCTGCTTTAAGATAACTGGCAATTCTCAAAGGATTCAGAACCAGCTAGAGCAGCTCAAACAGGAGCTGAAAAAGTTAAAATTCAGTGATAACTGGGGACTTCCAGAATAGTTTTCCAGTATTTTTTTTGTCTTTTCTGGGCCCAAGATCCTCTATTTTATGGATTATCTGGCTAGCTTCCTGTCTATTTCAATATTTATCTTGTAGCATGCAGCATACGCTATCGCAAACAGAAATGAGAATTATGCTTTCTGAAATCATAGGAAAAGCGGGGATTGTGAGAGCCCCCAAAAGCTGAGCTGTGAGAGCTGAAAGGATTGGGAGGATGGAAGGCCTCCTCTGAACATGAACTCTTAGAATCCTGAGAGCTTCCTGGAAAGGTCAATCCCTTCTGGATTGATAGGACTTCAGATTTCTTTCTTGGGTGTAGGCTAATTCCACATCAGACCTTCTGGGATCTTTGGGATAGACAAAAATCTATGTGAACTCTAAGTCATTTGCTGCTTACAGCTGCCGCTTCAGATGAAGGAGTTATTTATCACTTGAGGGAGATGATACCACACAATGGGTACTTGTGATTAAGATTGTATTATAGTATTGGTGCTTGAGATGTCAGGAAGTTGTGGTCTCACTTTGTACACGTACACCCCTGTGCCCTACTCAATAAATACCTTGTCAAATGGACTCAGGGCACCGGAAGCTGGCAAAAGGCTTCAGGCTCCTGGTGCCCGAAACCTCAATTCCAGGACCTGGTGTCTGTTCCTGCTTCATCCCAGGTTGTCCCAAGTTGGGACAGAGCTTCCACTCAAGATCAGTGAGGTGGAGGGGAGACAACCCCTTCCCCAGGACATCCAGCAAACCCTCAGGCAGCCTCCTGCCGTGGTCAGCCCACTGTCCACACCCAAGGGACCTCCTCAGCCTTTCATCCAGGTCGTCTTTGTTAAACAGAACACTAAGGCATGTTTGTCAGCCCTCGGTGCCGTGGCCCCATTTATTTCAGTAAGAACACACACGGGTCCCTTTGTGCTCCTCACCTGCATGTGGCTGCCGCCCGTCCTGGTGATTGCACTAAAGATGTGACACGCAAAGTCAGACTGGGAATGTGGCTTAGTGGTAGAGTGTTTGCCTAGCATTCATGAAGCCCTGGGTTTACTTCCTCAGTGCCACATATGCAGAAAAAGCCAGAAGTGGTGCTGTGCCTCAAGTAGTAAAGTGCTAGCCTTAAGCAAACGAAGCTAAGAGACAGTGCCCAAGGCCCTGAGTTCAAGCTCCATGACGGACACAAAAAAAGAAAGAAAATTCAGACCTCCAGATTTGAATGAGAGACTTATGGTATGATGCACTCCCAGTCCTGTCACCTCTGTAAGATGGAGACACATGTCTTCATCCCCACAGACACAGAGCTAAATCTGGGCTTAGTCCCAAGGGAACAGCTCTGGAGGAAGTCCTGCCATCTTCTCCCGGAATGTTTCCTCGAAGGCTTGGGCCTGGGCTGGGGTGAAGTGGTTCTTCCAGTCCCCTGTGATGCCTGGAGAAATAATGACATCAGATTGGGTCTGGGCAGGAAGGAACTGTCCCCTCATGTCCCCTCTGCCCTCTGCTTGCTCAAGAGGGTGAAGCCACAGATCTTCCTGGGACTCCACAGCAACCACGCTCCATGTCCAGTGCTCTCCTCTCAAGTTCCCCTCTGCCACCATGGGCTCCATTCCTGGCCCAGATATGTGGAATCAAGAAGCTCAGGATGTGGTCTCAGAGAACTCAGGGCCCTTTAATATCTGCATGCACATGGTCGTATCTTTCTTTTTTTTTCCTTTTTTCTTTTTTGTGAACATACTGTACAGAGGGGTTACAATTACATGGGCAAGATAATGAGTACATTTCTTATCAAGCATTGCAGCCTCCTCCTTTGTTTACCCT